AGAGGGGGAAAGTCGTGGGTATGCCAGGGAAGTGAGGAAAAAAAGGCTTCAACCTAAAAAAAGGAAGTGAAAGTCCTTTGGAAAAACAAAAGGACAGAGTACAGGCATCAAAAATTGTTAGCGACGACTTTAAAAAGAAGGAAACCAGTCCTTCCGTACCTCTGAAGATAAAAAAAGACCAACGTACAAAAGTTAAGGATATGAAAGGCAGGGTCAGTGCCACACTGAACTGATTCTAACTGGAGTGTGACTCTTCCACGTGTCTTCTAGCCCAACCACAGAGGATGACTTCTCCCTCTCTTGCCATAGATGCCGGAGAATCTACTAGAACACTTGGTTTTTGTACCAGAAGACAGCCCACAGGAAGTCTCCCATTAATCCACACAACAGAAGTATATCCTATTATTATAATAAGGAAGTGCTTATTAGCTAACTATTCCGTTCAGATGCTCCCCTCTGCGTGGGTAATGTCTAGTTTACATAGGAAGGAACTGTGGCTCACAGCTTCATGACTCACTCAGGAGTTCGCGGAGATCAGAGGGGAGTAGACACATCTGAATCACACCGGCATAGGCGGTGGTATCCAGTGCAGCTGAGCAACAAGAAGGCACAGAGCCTCATAAGAACCAGAAACATGCAGACTCTTTGCCATGAAAGACATGAAAGCAAAAATGTGCTGGACACACAGAAAGACCTGCAGTAAACAGGCCTTTGGTGGTGGTGACGGCGAGGTACGAGAGGAGGGCAAACGTCCCATAGCTACATGACAGGGCTCAGGCTGCAAGGATAACTAAGGCCCAAGTGGACTTTACAAGTGTGTCTTAGTTTTGTTCCCATGTCTCGAACACCAAAATGTCATGAACCAGCTTTAGTTTTCACTCCAGCACACAAGGAGCTTGGTGTCATACTTTATCCTCAGGGCAAATAAAAGAGCTAAACGAGCCGAGGAATCCGTTAACTCTTTTTAGATGCCTCAGTGTGAACTGAGGTCATCGGGCAAACTATTGCTTCCCTAAATTGGACATGCTGGCAGGTGAAGACAGAACATCTCAACATGGAGTAGCTCTTGTGAAGGAGAGTATAGGCAATACAACCTTTACTGCAACTGAATGCTGGGGGCTCACTGCAGAGAAAACCCCAGGGAGGGCCAATCATGAGGGACCCCACATTCTGGTGAGGAATCCCCACATTTTACCTCCAGGAGCATGACTATGTTTCTGACAGTGAATTACAGGAAGAACCCCTCATAGTTGCCCCAGGAGAGGACAAAAGGAACCAGTTTGAAATGTGTCAGAGTTTCTGTTCTTAACAAGGCCTGCTCTCAAGAAAAACTTATTTTCCTGAGCCTACACTGCTGAGGTTTTATTAGAGTCTAACCAACCTGGAGAAAGAAATGACCAACTCCAGACTGCCTTGACCTGTCCATGACAGAAAGGGAAATACCCATTCTCAGTTAACGCTTTCCATGCAAGCCCATGGCAAGAAGACAGGCTTGTTGAGTTCATGCCAGGGCTTATCACTGAAGTCTGAGCCCTGTCATGTAACTACAGGATGTCTCCCTCTCTCCATGCCTCCCATCACCACCACCAAAGGCCTATTTACCAGAGTCTACAAGAAACCCGCTTTGAATATAAGGACACATAGATTAAAAGGTAAAGAAAGAGAAACCATTCTAACACAAATCCAGAGACAGTAGCAGCAGTTACATTAATTTGAGAGAGAGCAGACTTCAGACCAAGGAGGGTTGTCAGGAATAAAGGACAATGCATAATGATAAAGGGTCATTTCTCCAAGAAGACAATCATAATGCTAACTGTATGTGCTTAGTGGTAGAGTGTAAAAATGAGGCAAACACTATAGAAATAGAAGGAGGAAGTGGTGAATTCACTATTATGGTTGGACATGTCAACACTCCTCTATCAGAAATCGAGAGATCCAGCAGGCAGAAAGTCAGTAAGGACACAGCTGAACTCAACAACACAGTTAAATGGACATAATTGACATCGATGGTCTATTTCATCCAACATACTTCCAAGCTCACTTGGAACATTCATTAAGTATTCTGGACCATAAAACACACCTTAACAAATTTAAAATAATAGAAATCATTCTATGTCTGTTCTCAGACCACAGTGAACTAAAAACAACTATAAATAAATGACAGAAAAGACAGCTGGAAAATCCCAAAATACTTGGAACTAAACAACAAACTTCAATACATGGACCAGGGCCAAAGAACAAATCTCAAGAGAAATTAAAAATACTGTAAACTGAATGAAAATGAAAATACATCTTATCAAATCTGTATAATGCTCTGAAAGCAATGATTGGAGGGAAATTTACAGCACTGAATACAAATACAGATGGTCCATCACTTATGACTGTGCTCCTTAGAATTTTTTTACCTTGTGATACTCATTCAATAGAAACTATACTTTGAATGTCGATCTTTTTCTGAGCTAGCAATATGTGGCATAGTATCTTGTGATGCTGGACACTGGCAGTGAACCACTGCTCCCAGGAAGACATGTGATTAAGAGGATAAATAATCAATACTCCACAAATGTGCTGCTGCCAACATTTTTGGAAATAGTGTTTTTTGTTTACACATTGCATCATGTCTGCAAAATTCCCATCTTTAGCCTCTGCTTCTGGTAATTATTCTGGAACTAAAACTCAAGGTAAATGCCCAAGATGAAGGCAACAAGCCAGGATGGCTGTCATATGAGTTAGAACTTTTGCAACTGCCAATCCCAACTATCTTAAAGAACAAGTAGTCAATGATCTATGATAATCAGTAGGTTAGGTTTGTTGAATCCATTTTCAAGATACAGAATTTTCAACTTATAACGGGTCTGTTGGGACATAACCCCATTGAAAGTTGACGAAGAGAGCCTTCGCTGGTGGTGCAGTGTGTTAAAGTATAGCACTGCAAGCTAGCCTCTGCCTCTTCGATGCAAGTTCGAGTCCTAGCCTCAGGGGTGAACCAGATGGTGCAGCAGACCTCTCCTGTCTTGCCCACTGCTCCCCTTAGTGGTGTGCTTTGTCGATCTGCCTGTTCTGCTCCCACTCTGTCTCTGGTGAATCTTCTCACTGCCCCTGCACCTCTGGCCTGCACCACAGTTCTGTATTCATAAATGAATCTTTAAAAAAAAAAAAAGTTGGGCCCTCCCTGGTGGCGCAGCGGGTTAAAGCACTGCACTAAGAAGCTTAAGCCACTTCCGCATGAGTTCGATTCCCGCCTGCCCCAGAGGAGATCCACATGGCGTGGCAGACCTCTCCTGACCCGCCCGCTGCTCCCCTCAGCAGTGTACTTCATTGATCTGCCTGTTCTGCTCCCCACTCTGTCTCTGGTGAATCCTCTCACCCTCCGCATCTCTGGCCTGTACCCCAGTTCTATATGAATAAATAAATCTAAAAAAACAAAAGTTGATGAAAAACTGTGTAAGAAAAGAATAAAGATCTAAAATCAATTATCTAAGCTTCCACTTTAGGAAGTAAAAAAAAAAAAGCAGATTAAATTCAAAGAAAAAAGAAATGATAAAAATAAGAGCAAAAAAATCTATGAAATCAAAAAAAGAGAATTAAAAGAAAAAACTCAAAGCTGGTTAAAATATCAATAAAAATTACCCCTTACCTAGGCAAAGGAGACACAAATCATGAATGTCAAAAGTGAAAGAGGAGACGCCACTACAGGTCCCATGGGCATTAAAAGGAGAATAAAAATTAATATTTTTATGCCTATAAATTCGATCACATAGATGGACCAGTTCTAGAGAGATGATCAGCCAAATCTCAGACATCACAAAACAGATCACTTCCACAGACCTACAGTATTAAAGAAATTGGATCAGTAATTATTAAACTAAAAAAGAAAATACTGGACTCAGATGGATTCACTATTGAACTGGGCATATTTAAGGAAGAAATTCTACTAATTCTCTGCAATTGCTCCCAGAAGACACTAGCTCAGAAAATACTTCCAAACTCATTTTATGAGGCCATCCTTGCCCTAAGAAAAAACCAGACAAAGACATTATAAGAAAACTACATGTCAACACCTCTCATAAATACACACGCAAAAATCCTCAACAAAATATTAGCAAATTCAATTATGTGTAAAAAGGATTTATGCCAGGTATGCGAAGTTCAACATATGAAAATCAATTAACATATCAATTCATATAATCCATTGCATTTGAGAGGCTAAAGAAGAGGAGTCCAGTGAGATGCTGGGAGAGTACAGACAGCAAGCTCAACGTCGGCCACTAAAATCATGCAAAACGAAGTCCAAGAAAACAATGATCAGTGTTGACATAGGAGCAGGAGCCTGACTGAAAAGGCAAGAAAACCCTGCACTTTGGTTAAAGTAATAACCAGGCAGCACAACCCACAAAAGGTAGGAGAGACTTGGGGCAGTGCCCCTTGGGCTACTGACTGGGGCACAGGCCCTGGAGGGCTCCTCAGTACCCACAGTGCACTGGTAAAAAACTCAAAGCTCAAAGAGGGTACAGGAGCAGACAGCAAGCTGCAGGGCAGGCACACTATAGGAGCTACCCAGGCCAGAACACAGACAGGGGATGGCAGGCGTGAGTCTGAGGCTCCTAACATAGACCAGTTGTGATTCTGGACTTCCTTACAGAATCCAGGCTGCGACACTGCAAACACCTCACCTCAGGCCAGGCTGAGACATCCAAAATACCTACCACTCCATATCCCAGGAGATACCTAAATCATTTGATCCCACTTCCACACGAAGGAATTTCAAATTCCTGAGTCTACCAGAGGCGATCCTTTGAAAGGTATTGCTCTTTTATACCAGGTACCCATTGTCACTACCACCCCTAATTACTCCAGCTGCCCTCTGACACCCCCTACCTCCCCCACATTTGATATGCTCCACATGCCACCCACATCCAGCTTATTCACTACTGGTGAGCAAGATGACTTCCCGACCACCAGGCACGAACAGGACTGGTCCAGGGTGGGCGACACAGTACCTGGAGGGAGGGTCTCCATGCTCTGTGGTTTCTCATCCCCATTGCTGTGATGAAGGTCTTTCTTTTTACCTGGATCAATTTCATTCCAGTCCTCCTAGGGGGAACAAAGACACCACGTGAGTTGATCAGTTGTTTAAGCCAACCCTCCATTCATCAATGCAGTCAACATAGAGGGGCATGTTCTAGTGTGCTCTGGGGACACCGTGAATGAGAAAGAATTCTATCTTTGGCACCTCCACTGAGGAACTTCCCAGGGATGAAGGTGCAAAGAGAGAACAGTGTAAGGATGCCCTTTACCAAGGAAGGGCTTGCGTTTCTTTCTTCATTTTGTGTTTGTTTTGCATATCTGTAGAAAGGAAGTAATTCTGGAAACTCCAAGGGCTTGTAAGAGCTGTGTGGGTGGTTGAAGGGACACAGGGAAAATGGATTAAATAAAATAATTCAGCGGAGGTTAAATTAAAGCCATTAAAATCAGGGTTGCTTTCCAGACCTATTGGAGGGTTTAAGAACACCAGAGGGCCAGGTCTCCCAAGGGGCCACTTTGGGCCTCCACAGAGGCTGTAAGATGATTTGCTTAATGCCTCAGAATAAGAATGGAAGGACAGCTAAGCTTCAGCTAGCCCCTCTAAGGGGACTGCCAGCAGAACAGCGCTGTAAATTAAGAGCTTAATGTGAAACCAGAAGAAGATACAAGCTCTGGCAGAATTTATTCAACTCATCTGCGCAAACAATTTAATCTATCAACGTTAAATCAAACGAAATAACAATTTCATGACCACAGAGCTAAATATACTTTCAACCACTTTGGGATCTGATTTCTGTGAGTAAAATAAGATTTCTGCCTACAACCTAAATCAGAAATATCCCACGGCTGGTCATCTTCACAGGCTCGAGAGAGCCAAGAGTTGTCCAAAGGTCGTTTTCCTGAGCAGAAGCTGTTAAGATGATTTGCATAAACAGGGAATTCTCAGGGCCAAATGGTCCATTTACCCACATGTGACCTGCTCAGCCCATCATCTGCAGTTTTACTCTGAGAAACTGCCTGAACTTCCTCCCTCTCCAGGCCAGTTTTTCCTCTAGTGGCTTCTGCTGCGTTAATGAGACAGCTGGGTTTATCCCATCAGTACCATCAGGGCCACACAGGCTAACTCCACACTCCGGCTGGGTGAGGAACCACCCGTACCTGGCCAGTCCCGCCTACTGTCTCAGGCCTCTCAGGCCTCAAGGGTCCCCAGTGCCGGGACTTTTGAAGATTCTTTCCTCCCACATTGCGACAAATGTCCTGAAAAACATCTGTATCCATTTAAATATCTTTTGCTACAAATACAATTGGAAAGCTATCTACAATTTGACTTCTGAAACGGTTTGATTATAAATAAACTTTTAACTTGCTACTGACAATGATTTCATGGCCCTCTTTGCAGATGTCTAAGCGCTTTCACAACACCAAGAAACGTGTAATTCAGCAAGTAATGAAGTGTCTGGTCACAGTGTGCAGACTTTTCATTAAGCAGTATTAATTTTTATTTGGTAGTTTGCTCATTGTGTGTGTGATGAATAAATCCCCCTCCTCCCCAGGCATTTGGCTTATGACATACCATCAAACCATTTAACATTCTACTAGAATAAAATAAAAAGTGAAAGATGCCAGCAAGGCCTGATGGTATTAGTCTTACTCTGTATGCGCAAAAATCAAGGCCTTACCCTTAACAGTCACCAAATCAACATCTGCAGGTCAGCCATCAATGTTTTCTCAGAAAACACAGGTTTCCCCCAGGAACAAGAATGACTAGCCCACCTGTAACATTCCTTAACCTTCCCAAACCTTCCCAGCAACTCTGCCTACCACAAAACCAAGGCCCAAGAAGAGACTGATCCTATCACTGGTAAGCGGCCACTTCCCATCATTAAAAGTGCCACTTACAAATGGTTAGACACTTTCTATCACTGCCACAGCTGTGGCATTTTCTGACTCCTATGTCACAGTGAGGACACAGAAGACCAGAGAAGTTAAGCAAATCGTCCGGGTTATACAGCAGATAAAAATCTTACGCTGGCCCTTCATTAATCAGAATGGGGATGACAGCCAAAAGTTCAAACCAAGAGCCTGATGATTCTTACAACATCATAAAAATCCAAGAATCCATTACTAGGACCTAGATTTTTTTCAATTATATTTATTACCTAGGTGATTCACAAAAGATTGTTTTGTTCTGGACTTCCAAGTCCAGAAATAAATACCTGCTCCTGAAGTAAAATGAGGAGACAGAGGATGAAGGACCCAGGCATGGCACCAGGTTTCTGACGTGAACACATCACTGACGGGAGGGACAGTCACAGTTAAGAAACACGAGAACACCCTTTGGTGGAGAAAGGATGGGCTCTGGAAATGCTGAGGTTGCTCCGGGACAGTGAGAAGAGGTGTGCCGTCTTAAGTCCAGAACATCCAGAGTTCTGGAAAGGCCCAACACAACCACAGCTAGCCTTGAGCATGAGAGACCATCAGCAAGGGCATCAGGAGGGTCAGGGACCCACTGAGAACAGCCCAGGGGCAGCAGGAGACGCCAACACTTGAGGCATAAGCCAGACCCCAGGCAGGGCGGGCAGAACACAGGCCCAGGAGCGGGAGCCCAACCGTGGCAAAAAGCCAGTGACTGGGCTGAGGGGGTGTCTGAGCTAGTCGCCTACCTTCTCTAACACTGGGGCACTGGGCCAGATACCCTGTGGTCCCCATGTGCCTTAGCAATGCCATGTAGCTGATATATTAAGTCCTCACTTTCTTAGACTTTTAGCCAATCTCACAAATGTTTCGTGTCCCAGAGGCAGGTCCTTCGGGGCGGGCAGGTGGTCTGTGCCCCTACAGTACCCAGTGTGTGCTGGTGACTTCACGGTAGCTGCTCAATACCAAATATGGCTGGAAAAAACCTCTCACCCTCCTTACTCAGTGATTTTACTAGCATCACCCACACTGCAATGCCATGGCAGCTTTTCTTACAACAACCCCCTCCCATACATTTACATACATTACAAGATTTATTTACACCAAGGAGGCTCCATTTAAAAATGTAAATGTACTGAAAGCTAATGTATGGAGAAGACTCCCCAGCACCCACTAGTATTCAGGATGCAATGCCAAGTGATTTGTTTTCTCCCAGTTAAGAGAAAATGATGCGATGACAGACCAGTCTTCTTTTTACTGGCAGGTATGAACTGTTGAGAATAGAAGAGCAATGAATAGTTGAATGGCTGCTGAGAATTCTAAGTCTGCAACCCGGTAAGCCTGCTTTTATTTCCCAGGATGCAGGCTTTTCTCTGCTTTGTTTCTCCTGATGAGGGGCCCTCCCTGGTGGCGTAACAGGTTAAAGCACAGCACTATGAAGCTAGCTGCACCCGCTTCACGAGTTTGATCCCTGGCCAGGGAGCTGACCCACATGGCGCGGCAGACCTCTCCTGACCCACCCACTGCTCCCCTCAGCAGTGTACTTCGTCAGTCGGCCTGTTCTGCTCCCCACTCTGTCTCTGGTGAAGCTTCTCGCCGTCCCTGCACCTCTGGCCTATACCCAAGTTGTGCATGCATAAATAAATAAGTCTTTTAAAGAAAAAAAAATGAAATACTTAAAAAACAAAAAAAAGAGGAATGGTGACACTGAACACACAATGACTAAACCACAGATAGCTTCAAAGGCAGACACGGGTGGACTTGGGATTCTGACCGGGAATTAATTTTGTCAGGGAAATTTAACCAGAGGTCCAGGACTCTGTGGCAACCTCAGTGTTGGATACAGCCACACACAACTTGTGGAAAAACCCAGAGTTCCAGAAAATGCAAACTCTGATTCCTGTCCCCCTACACACTTACTAACCCAGCTGACTGGTTATTATTAGACATTTACATCTGGTGAGTTTTCACTGTCTAGAGCTCAAGACAGACAGCCTGTCCACACCGCTCTTACGGCGGCACACGCCACCAGCGGACTATCACCTGACATCCAAATGAAATTAAATCAGGTCGTAAGCGAGATCAGATGGAAGTGAGTGACTAATGTCTACTTATCTAGCATAATTAGAGAGCACTGCAGCCAAAATTCATGCTATTTCTGGGAAGATAAAAGAGCAATCATCTTTAATAAAATGACATTATTTTCAGAAACCGAAAATCTAATTGGTTGGTTTGCCGCATAGTTATGAAAATTAACTAAGTGTAAATATGGGTTTAGTTATTAAAATAGAATTCCTATTATGATCTCTGTGTCAAAACAATAGAAAAAAAAGATAGGCTCGGTTTTTTACCAGAGACAAAAATCTCACTTGCTATGGACAAGTGGCTGCACCAAACAGAAAGGGTTGGTCCTGTCAAGCTGCCAGCAGGGCCAGGTGTGAGGGAGAAAGCTCTGTGGGGGCAGCCAAGGAGCTGCTGCTGACTAGAAATCAGTCTCTTAAGCACCAGTCGATCACCATCAGCTTATGAAGAGCACTGTTTAGTCAGACCCTTTGTCTCCTAGGAGAGAGATCCAGAAGGGCTAAATGACTTACTGTGTCATCAACAAAACAAATTCCCTCAAAATGCGGAGGCTCAAAAACAACAGGCATTTATCTCAGACAGCTTCTGAAGGCCATGACCTGCATGGCTCCTGCAGAGGCATCTCAGGGACCGCAGCTGGGGTGTCAGTCAGCACACGAGGGCTGGGTGGCTACATCCAGGACTGTTGGCTCACATGCTGCAGGCAAGAGGCCCTGTTCCTCAGCACAAACTGGGGTGTGGGGCTGCTTGAGTGTCCTCACAACATGGCCGCTAGTCCCCCCCACCCCCCAAGAAATTGATCCTAGAATGCTGCTATCCCAGCTACTCAGATGTGGGATTTGGGAAACAATGAGTGTCCAGGAGTTGAGTCACAAAAGGGACATGTGTGTGCAGTGAAAACATCACAGTGACCACTTATCCACTGTCCAATATAAAGGCAATGACTGCCAAGGGTAACGTGTTTGAATTACGAAACAGCACCAGAATAAACAAGCTTACACATAGAAAACCAGATAATGAAGAAGAAACATGTATTGCTAAATCATCAAAGGCTGCCTTCGTAAAATTAAATG